GCTGTTGAAAGCGTGTTGAATCAAGTTTAAATCGGTTTAAACTTTCATTCAACATCGATTCAACTTTTCCTTTGTAAGGCCTCTTTAAGGCCTTTGTAAGACCCGTTGTTAGGCCTCTAAAAAGGCCGCCGCACAGTTTTATTTTTGCGTTCAACATTTGCCCCAACATCCGTTCAACTTTTGTCGAACGAATGCTGGTCAAATGTTGATACCTTTTAAACGGGCCTTTATCGAAGGACCTTTATCAGTCGGCAAAGCGGTAGAAGATGTCGATTGGAAATGGATTTATTTATTTCGTTAGAATTTCGCGAATGGCCGGATGTGTTTATGGTTTCTTGCGACGCTTCTCTCATTTTTGCGTTCAACATTTTCCCAACATCCGTTCAACTTTTGTCGAGTAAATGCTGGTCAAATGTTAAAACCGTTTAAATGGACCTTTAGCAGTCAGCAACGCGGCTGAAGACGTCGATTGAAAATGAACTTATTTATTCAGTTCGAATTTCGTGAATGACCGGATGTGTTTACGGTTTCTTGCTACGCTTCACTTCAACTTCAGCACAATGTGTGTGAGCCGCCTTACATTCCATATGGAAACTTTTTTGATAAATAGTAATTGGGCTTTTTGTCCACAGACCGCGCAAATCCAAAGTTGTTTGTTTAGCAGAACACGGCTGAGAAATGTACAAAGTTTCCAAAGACACTCGCTGAGCTATTTTCCACTCATTAAGTCTTTTGTTTTGCTACGTCCTCGTCACAGCTACCCGGTCGTGGTTTTTGCTAAGGTACTTAGTTCTTACACTGTCAAACATAATTTCTCTTTCTTGAGCGTAACTGCTTTGTTATCAAAACAAACAAAAAAAGCACTTGTGTTGTACAAGTATTAGCATTTTGGTGCAATAGTTCCTTTGTGGCGCGAAATTGGAGACGGTCACATTGACAAAAGCAATGTATCTATATGGACGCTCAAAAGTTTATAATTTCTAAATAATTACTTGTAGCATATACAATCCCTCAGTGGCAAACTTCCGAGCGATGAGATGGATTCATAAAACAAATTTAGAAGACAACGCTTATATTTCTTTTTTAATAAGTTATCGCAGATCGACAGACTGAGGCACGAAAAATGAAACAAATCAATTTCGTTTGAGGCCGCTCAACAGTTAGTCTTTTACTCAAAAAAACAAAGGCTACAATTAATTATCAACACTTAACGCTCCGTTGATAGTGCGCCGTGGGATCGAAATTAAGCCGACTTCCATAAACGACAACCGTGAGAACCCCCTTAGTTTATAATCATGGTACCGAGACGACCTTCGCAAACGGCAAGTATCAATTTCCAGCTGTATGAGGTTTTGGAAGATGTTTACAGATGACACTTCGCCGATAGAAATAAAGATCCCTAAGAAAATATACGAACCTTCTATGAACGCATCGGGCGAACACGTAGGGTAAACTTTAATATCTTTCCACCGTAAAACTCTCGCCAGAAAGAAAATTAGTGAGTTTCGTCAAAGCAAAAACTACAATGTTAGGATATAAAATGCGAACGGAAATTTTTAATTCTTATGCAGTCACGCTTCTAATACCAATCAGTTGCGAAATGTCAACGCGACTGCCTGAAATGACAGGAATGAAACTCGGAGTCGAAAGTCAGACTTTCCACTCCGAGTTTCATTCCTGTGTGATTACACTACCGCAAACAACTAAATAAAAACTCTAAATTTAAGAAAGACTATACTTTGCGTGTTCCTGCTCTTGGAGAAATGATGGAGGTTTTTGCTCCTTCGGGA